AATGTATAGTGATTTACAGATACATGTAGTGATTCTTAAGTCCTTAATATATAGTGTATAGTTGGTGCATTCTAGGGAAAGTTGAATTGTTTAGGGTGGAAAAGGATCTTTTCCACTCAAATCTAACCTGGAAAATATTCCTGTCTCCTATTGCGTTCACGAACTTTGCCGCCTTGACCACCCCTATGCCAAAAATTGACGTCAGGTAGTCACACCCTGCCAGGATGCAGATAGTCTGGAACTTGTCGTGGCTGAAGTCTCTGAAGTCTGGGAAGGACAGGTGCAGGCTGTTCTGGGAGATGAGCTGCCCAGTCAGCCTTACGGGGTCCCATTTGTAGACAACCTAGGAAAAGGAGGAAAAGATCAGCTTTAAAATTTACAACATTGTAATATTTCTGCATTAAATGTTATCAAATATTGTCTTATCAAGTCATACATATGAGTTTTTGTTTCCTTTATAAAGGTCATTTGATATTTTGGGTACACTGAGTGGAGCACACCACAGAACATAGTCACAAACTAGCACATACATAGGAAAGATAATACAAGTAGAAGTTTACCTCTTTGGCACCGAATGCCAACAGATCAGAATCTTCTGATATGATGAACCTCACTGCGCCGTTCATACTGAAGAACGCCAGTTGCGCATCAGCCTCATAGGGTGCGACCACGTAGTCGACGCCTCTCACTTCCAATGCCTGTAAAGTGAATACTTTTACTACATTTTCCATCAGCTAACTGGATAGCAGGTCACATGGTTGCTCAAATTGTGTTTAGGAAAGCTACATGTAGTTGACCATCTACAAAATATACCTCACAGTCACTGAGTGACACAAGCATACTGATAGATTACATAGCTCTTTGATGTCTGTAAAACCTTTGGCATTTATGACTGTTCATCACCCTTTAAAATGTTGGCCGAATAAACATAGCCTTTTTTTTGTAGCCATTTTTACCTAATAAGAAACATTTACAAAGACCACTGACCTCAATAACTCTGTCGACCATTTCTGGCGTGATGGAGACAGCCTGGAGATAGTAAGACCTGGCTCTCTGTTGATCTATCGCAGTCCGAGCCTGGAGTTTGGCCACCTCCCTCTTTCTGGAAGGAACATGTAAAGGTATCGGTGAAGATTGTACACATGTATCAATACCTTTTGTTATGGATGAAGAGTATCAAGTTTGGGAGCAGGGCCATAGAAGTAACTTACAAAACATTGATTACTCATGCTAATGTCATAACTTCTCATTAGAATAGAACTAACAGGTAACTTGAAATATCAAGGGATTACATATTTCACAATGTGAATACATACCTTCTTCTCTCTGCAGCCTCTTTAGCCTTGGCTGGCAGCGTTCTTGGTCCATCAAACACCACCAGAGGTGTCACGTCATTTTGTAGGAGACGTTCAATTGAACTCATGAAGAAGTTGACGTAGCTGAAAATGACAACATATTCAGATTTTACAAACAAAAATTAACAAACCATACCTTTTTTTTTATGGAGCATTATATACTATCTGTTGTTACATCCATTTCTAATGTGATGTAAATAGCAGAATTTTGCTTGAATGAGAGATTACTAGGAGAGGGACAGGGAGAGAGAGAGAGAGTATTTACCCGTCGGTTGGCTGACCAAGAACTAGCTCCTTAGCACATGAATAGGAACCCCTGTGCAGCCAGCATGAGGCATCAACTCCAACTACAGACCCGGTCAGGTCATTTATGTTGATGGGTCGTGTTGAGGGCGAAAGGGCAGGTAAAAGCCCTTTAATCCCCATTCTGCAGAGCAAAAAAAAAATAATGGAAATTCATTGAAGTGTATGTCACAACAAATTAAAAAAACTCGCATGAAAATGTCATGATAGTGGTGCAATGAATATGCATACGAGCGGCTCTTTGAATCTATGAACTGTGATGAATACGAATACACGTAAGAAACCAGCGGCTCTTTGTATTTACCGCTATTTAAAGAGAACTGTGATGAATATGTAAACACATAATAAAGCCTGCGACACTCTGCAACCATTACACCCTTGAAACTGAATGCACCACGCTATACATATTTACAAACCCGTCAGTAGCACGGTGGTTCTAACTAAGTAAGAAAAAACAGTGTGAACTTTCTATGTACCGTCTGGATAAAGACTCATTCAACACTACTCCACAATTTTTCAAAATTTAAAAGAAAATACAGCATCTAAACTTAACAAGGATCACGGAAATGACTGTTAGTGGCTTCCTAGGCTTAAAACTTCATATCGATGTTATTTTGACCACACAATCGTGTCCGAACTTGCACATGACCCATGCTCGGATTTTTCGCCCCCCTCCCCCTTGCCATCGGGCGCCGCGAAACCAATTGGAATTTTAAATCTTAAGAAATAATAGCAACAAAATTGGAACTAACGTCACATGTCAGACTATTTATCGACCCACAAATGTTACAACGTAAAGTAAGAATCTCTTTGCCATCGTGTAGTTTTAGATATGAACACACCGCATGTTACGACGGCCGCATGTTTGTTAGTTGTCAATGGTTAATTACGCACAGTATTTCGAGAAAACAGCGGTTAAAAATACAAAATAAAAATCACCACAACGTGAGCAAAGTCTATACTAACCTGGTGTATTCTGGGGACACGTACTTGCCCGGCAAACGCGTACCAGACGGTCAAAACAAGGATGAAAAAGCACTAGAAAGACGCGCGGCAGCTGTATAATGGGGAGCTCTCCACACGTCCGTTCACTGCGGTGTCTGACAGCAGGAATGAGCCCGCTGCGGTTCAGACCGGAAATTACCCGTCATGCTTTTCGGGACCCGTCCAGCCCCCCCTGCGTGGACCGGCCATGGGTAAACAACTTCAGGAGAAACTCTAGAATTTATGTCTGTCTTTTACGTCTGTCCGTTCTGCTAATAAACGCCGTGAGATGAAAACTCGGCAGTAAAACAACATGGGTATCACATGTCACTGTCAGTAAGCTTCTAACAGTGTTTGAACATGAACCACATACTTTCCTTCCGTTTTTCCTTTACTTTAAATCCGGTATGCTTATCAACTCCAAGCTGATATAAGTTAGACTCTGTAAACGTCTTTTCGCCCGATGTCTATCCTTTTCTACCAAGCTAGCAGGCCAAGCTATATACCAGTATACCCAAGGAAAAGCTGATAAGATAGAAAGCCAGACAAAACGCCTACTGAACGTCCCAAACAAACCTAACTTCT